GCAGACTGGTGTAGCCACTGTGGAAAACAGTATGGCATTACCTCATAAAACTAAAAATGTAACTTCCATTTGAACCAGTAATCCCACTTAAGGAATATGTCCCAAGAAATCAGAAACATCAATCAGAAAGGACATATGCACCCCGATGTTGATAGCAGCACAATTTAAAATAGCTAAGATTTGGAAACAGCCTAAGTACCCATCAGCAGATGAGTGAATTAAAATACTATGGTACATCTACCCAATGGAATACTATGCTGCACCAAAAAAAAAAAAAAAAAAAAAAAAAAAGGAATTCCTACCATTTGCAACAACACGGATGAAACTGGAGAGCATTATGCTAATCGAAATAAGCCAGTGGAAAAAGATAAATACCACATGATCTCACTCATTTGTGGAATATAATGAACAACATAAACTGATGAAGAAAAATAGATCCAGAGACAGAGAAGCATCCAACAGACTGTCAAACCTCAGAGGGAAAGCGAAGGGGGAGGGAGGTGGTGATTAGAGATCAATCAAAGGAGTTGTATGCATGCTTGTAAGCATAACCAATAGAGACAAGCACTAGTGGGGTGAAGGCATGTGCTGGGGGTTGGAGGTGGCTGGGGAGAGGTCAATGGAGGGAAAAAGGAGACATATGTAATACTTTAAACAATAAAGAATTTTTTAAAAAAATAAAGCTCCACTCTCCTAAAAGTAATGAAAGCTAGATTACGACAATTCCGATTAGTCTCCAGTCACAGCATCACTTGGTCACAGTATAATGCACCTCACAGTCACAGCCAATCCTGGTTGTATAGAAGGGTCCACCCCACCCCACTCACAGTCCCAGGAGCCTAATCAGGGCAGATGAAGGCTTCCCTACCATGCGGACATCCTGGGCGTGGCACGCACAGGCACGCACAACACACATGCTCTCTCTTACATGCACAGACATGCACTCTCATAATTATATCCCAAGCTGACACAGCCACATAATCATGCACACACACACACACACATACACACACACACACACACACACACACACACCTTCCCATCACCTTCCTCAGCAGTGATTCACATAGGCAGAAGCCAGCTGCCTCCACCCGCCTCCACCCGCACCCGCAACCGGAAATCTCCGGGCCTCTTGCGTCCCTCCACTCACCACCCACAGATCATCATGACCGCAGGGCTGGCGTGAATTGAACCATAGGTCGAAGTCCGTTAGCTCCCTCAGGGGCCTGTGAGAAACGTAGCCCAAAACGGAAAAGCGCGAACGGAGACCCAGGCAGACCTGGGCTGCTGCAGCTGGGATCTCGGGTTCCAGACGGGACGCCCCGGGGGCTCCTGGGAGCTCCGACGCACGCGGGAGTGCGCAGGCGCAGACCACCAACCCTGGGCTGGCGTTTGGCTCCTAGGCGAGTGAGTCCTGGGGGCTCTGGAGAAGAAGAGACTGGGAAGCTCGGGGCCAGGAGGTCACATTAGGAGAACAGGGCCCAACTGAGAGGCCAAGGAGAAAACCCGGGTCAAAGCCGTCCCTGGTTATTCAGAAAAGGGAGCTGGAACTGGGCCCGTGGTAACTAGACACTCAGATGGGGGAGTGGGGGCGGGGAGGGGCGTCTCGGGCGTGGTCCGTGGGCGTGACCGTGAGGGTAACAATCGCCTGTGACCTGGAAGGAGCTGCGAGAGGGAGGTTGTGTCTGACTCTAGGAAGCCCATGGCAGCGAAGAAACCGCACCGGAGGGGGTGTGTGAGTGTGTGTGTGTACACCAATCGAGACGGCCTCCTGCCCCAGACCGCTGCATTTTGGGTGTGTGCTAGTTTCCGAGAAGTTAGGGAAAATTGTGTGAAAAGCGGACGGCGTAATGTTTCTATCTGGGATTTCTTCTGCCTTTGTCTATTTAGAGATCAGGTGTGAGTCGTGTTTGAGGCTGTAGGTGATGATGGAGAAGCGAAAGTGATTTGCAATATGATTTTGAGACTTTGCCTGGAATTATGTAATGAATGTGCTGTCCGTGTTTGTGATGTATGAGGGCTAGGGAATGCTGGTTTGCTGAGGTAAGTTTGATTGACTGTTAACTATGCATGTGTTTGTAAACCAATGTTACTTTTTGTGATGGAGAAACTCTGCAAGACCGCTGTCTAGTTGGGTATTAAGATGTGATTATCTGAGTAGCATTCATTAAGTCGCCTCCAAAATTGTAACTCAATAGCTATTTAGCAAATAAAAGAGATAAATATTGGAAAGAAAGAGGTAACAGTTTTGTATTTTATAAATGGTAAGATTCGTTGCAGGGAAACACCGTATGAACTAAAATTAACGTGTTAAAATGAATAGTGTTCTATAACTAGTGCTTTCAACACTGATATCTATGAGATTTCCTGCTACTGAGTGAAAGTGATGACAAGGTTAATAGCTTCTTTGGGCATTCTAAGATGATAAAGAGTAATTGGTACACTTTTAATCACAAGGCGCATCTTGTTTTAGTAATTAAGGTAGCTATTTTGTGAATTAAGATATTCACTGTATCAGTCTATACTTCTGACTTGACTTAGCAAAATACTATGCTTTCTGTTTAGAAGCCTTTAAAGTGGAAAGGTACATTTCTATTTCCATTCCTATACTACTAAAAAGTGTTGCTTACTATAAACATTTAAATTAGCTATTAGAAAATTAATATTTATTATTAATAACTGTGCTTATTACATAGTGTGAAACACATGAATCAATAAAGAGATGAATTAGAGAGATATAAAGTCCAGATACTTTCAAGCAGATAGGGATGTGGAATATATGATAGAGATAGCATTTCACATAAATTGAGAAAGTATGAATTATATGTTTTGTAGTATTGCTAAACAACAAACCACTGGATAAAATCTTCACAAAGTAAAAACACTTTAATAGTTACATGAATAACTAAGAAAATGTATTTGCAACTTTAAGTAGGTAAAGGGTTAAATTACTAAATTTAAAAAGATAATATCAACAAATTAGGAAGTAAAAACCCATGGGGGGAAAAACATATTATAAGAAGATGCCATCACATAAAATAAATAAAAGCTTCTTTAAATTTTTTTTAAATTTTTGTTTATTGATTTTAGAGAGAAGGGAATGGGGAGGGAAAGAGAGAGGAAAACATTGATTTGTTGTTCTACTTATTTTGGTTGATTCTTTTATGAGCCCTGACTGGGAATCAAACCCTTAACCTTGGCGTATCAGAACAACACTTTAACCAACTGAGCTACCCAGCCAGTGTCTTCTTTAAACTTATTAAAAGGAGCTTATTGCCAAAACCGGTTTGGCTCAATGGATAGAGCATCCGTCTGTGGACTGAAAGGTCCCAGGTTCGATTCTGGTCAAGGGCATATACCTTGGTTGTGGGTACAACCCTAGTAGGAGGTGTTCAAGAGGCAGCTGATCGATGATTCTCTCTCATCGATGTTTCTAACTCTCTATCCCTCTCTCTTCCTCTCTGTAAAAAATATCAATAAAAATATATTTTTTAAAGGCACTTATTCTCACTCACAATAAAGAATATGTATAATAGAATTATAATATTGATAGTAAAGATTGAAAAATTATTGTCAGCTAGCTGCATTCATCTAGGTATGAGAAGGTATTCTTATGCACTACTGGTGGTGGTATAAATTGGTAGAGAGTTCATGAAAAACACCCTGGAAATCCTACCTAATAAAAGAGTAATATGCAAATTAACCATCACTCCACTACACTCACAAGCCATGCCCCACTGGCCACACCCACCAGCCAATCAGAGCAAGTATACAAATAAACCCAACCAAGATGGCTACAGCCACAAAGAGAAGGAGGAAGGCTTGGGTTTCCCAGGCAACAGAGGAAGCCAAGCTTTCCGCCTGCCCTTGCTGGTCTAAGCCTCCACTCAAGACTACAATTATAGAAGATAAACAAATCCAAACAAAAATAGCTGCTGCCAGGGAGCAAGCAGAAGGCTTGGCTCTGCTCCAGGCTACAAAGTTTCAATTGTAGAAGGTAAATAAATTCCAGATACTAGGACCTCCACTTGGGTTGCTCAGGCCCCCCTTCAAAGGAATGCCCACCCTGATCCGGGACACTCTTCAGGGCAAATCAGCTGGCCCCCACTCGTACACCAGGCCTCTATCCTATCTAATAAAAGAGTAATATGCAGATTTAGCATCACTCCAACACACAACAGTTGCCTCCATGTAGTCAAAGATGGCTACCCCCATGTGGACACAAGATGGCCAGCAGGGGAGGGCAATTGGGAGGCACCAGGCCTGCAAGGGAGGGCAGTTGAGAGGGGCCAGGCCTGCAAGGAAGGGCAGTTGGAGGCGATCAACCCTGCAGGGGAAGGCAGTTAGGGGTGACTAGGCCTGCAGGAGAAGGTAGTTAGGGGCAAACAGGCGGGAAGGGGAGTGGTTAGGGGGTGATCAGACTGGCAGGCAGAAGTGGTTAGGGGTAACCAGGAAGGCAGGCAGGCAAGCAGTTGGGAGCCAGCAGTCCTGGATTGTGAGAGGGATGTCCGACTGCCAGTTTAGGGGATCCGATCTAAACTGGGATTGGGTCTAAACTGGCAGTCCGACATCCCTCAAGAGGTCCCAGATTGGAGAGGTTGCAGGCTGGGCTGAGGGACACACACACATACACCCGGCCCCATGCACGAATTTCATGCACTGGGCCTCTAGTATAAAATAAACCCATCCTCTATGGAAGATGAAAGTAGATCTGTAGAGGAAATGTTCCCCCTTTCAAGCCACAACAGATTCCTCAGAATTTATTCTACTCCACCAAGAGATTAGGTTTCTGGTGTTGGTGAGGCAGCAGGATTTATATGGGATACAGAGTGGACAAGTGCTGAAATAGTGAACATTGATTTAGATTTAACTGAGTTATTCTGGGAAATCTAAGTCAAATATGGTTTCTTGTATCTTCCCATCTCTGCCTTCTCAGGACTCTTCCCTTTCCAAAAGAAGATCTTAAAAGAGAAGATTCATTTCTTGCAAATCTCACAGCTATGCCTCAGGTGAGATGATGTTTCCTCTCTTTCTGAAAACCTCGTTTTCAGGTTATATAAACATTTATTTCCCTATTCTTAAATTTCCTGAATATGGGAGTTTGCTTCCGTGAAACTAGTCTCTAGTAGGGCTTAGATTGGGTAGCCTAGGTACAAAATTGAAGGAGTACCCTCAGAGCTGTGCATCCCTAAATTTTATATCATAGCTACCTTGCCTGCCTCATCCTAGATACAGCCCTGTTCTGAGTTTCTCTTATTCCAACCACATAAATTTAAGCCTTTCCCAAGTGCACTTTCTAGTTGAAGCCAATGTTCACATATAGATTGAGTATGTCATCATCATTTCTGTCTTCTCACAGAAGTTACTGCTGAAACAAATGTATTATCTTGATCTAAACGGGGATATATCACTTGGATGAATCTAGTCTAGACACAGATTTGAGATCTAAGTTGTGAGGAGTAAAGGTGCAGACATGGAAAAACCTTGATCATACCCATTGACCTAGGTTTTGCAATTATGGATAGCATTATGAGTTTGTGGTAAGATGTCCTATTTTGTGGAATTTTCAGGATATAGATTTACTTGCAAGCTTATCAGAAAACTGAGATCTTGCATTTCTCTTCTTTGGTCCCCCTATTTTATCAATGTCTACCAGCAATTTCTACAAACTGACCTACCAGTGAAAACCTTTCCAGTATGTCAATGCTATTATAGATGCCTGTATAATAAAGAGGTAATATGCAAGTTGACCATCACTCCAGGTCACAAGATGGCCATCACAAGATGACCAGCAGGGGAAGGCAGTTGTGGGCTATCAGACCAGCATGGGAGGGCTGTTGGGAAGGACCAGGCCTGCAACGGAGGGCAGTTGGTGGGGATCTAGCCAGCAGAAGAGATCAGTTAGGGGTGATCAGGATAGCAGAGCGAGTGTAGTTAGGGGCAATTGGGCCAGCAGGGGAGCAATTAGGTGTCGATCAAGCTGGCAGGGTAGTGCTTAGGGGTGATCAGGCTGGCAGGCAGATGCGGTTAGGGGCAATCAGGCAGGCAGGCAGGCAGGTGAGTGGTTCGGAGCCAGCAGTCCTGGACTGTGAGAGGGATGTCTGAGATTGGAGAGGGTGCAGGCTGAGCTGAGGAACACACACCTCCCCCGCTTGCTGTGCACAAATTTTGTGCACTGAGCCTCTAGTTTATTATAGTTTCTATTCTAATTTTTATATATAGGTACAAGAGAAGGAAATGCCTATGTTAGCCCTCTCTTAAAATATTCTACTCTTAAAGCAAAGGTGATATAATGTCCTGTGTTCATATTGTTCTTTCAAAAGATTTATCTCCATCAACCAGTCTTTAAAAGATTGGTTTTCCAGAAATGCTAATTGGTTCTCTTCTCTCCCTTGACTCTTTTTCAGTATAACCTGATCTGATTCTAGTGATTCTCAAACACCTCTATCTATCCAGAGTGTCAGAACTATACTGTAATAGTATATCCAATCTCTAACAGCTATCACCATCTATATGTTCCATAGTCACTTCAAGTACATTTTCAAGAATGACCTCATTACTTTCTTTGGTTCAACTTATACTTTCTTCTGTTTCCCACTTCCATTTTTTAGTCCTAGTAGCTACCCATTTGCTTATGCAGGTAACTGAAGAGCTATGCCTATCTTTTTCACTCTACAACCAATTTATGACCAATTCTGTTGCAACTCATCATAACAACCAGTAGTCCCATGCTAGACAACTAAAAACACCTTAATCTAAGAGACACCTTTAACAATGGTTACTTTATTTGTTTTTCTCACCTAACACATCTTAAGCCATCTCTAGTCTTCAAGAGTATTGCCTCTAAAGTACAAAAGTTATTACATTTGTGTTGACTTAAGTTTCTTCATTTTCTTTATACTCCATAAAACAGTAGGCCCAAAGTAGAGTTTTAATTATAATGGAATGTTCAGGACAGTATATTGAAAGGAAGAAAAATACTACAGTTTGCACTTAAGAACAGGAGTCATTAACAATATGGATTGCCATTAATGCCTACTGGTATTTTATAAATACTCTGTTGTGAGTGTTCTTAGTACATTTTTTAAGACTACTGCTCTATGGGGAAAATAATGTAATATTATTCCATAAATATACACACTGCCTATATCCATGTACCTTTTTCTTTTTAAAGCTTAAAGACTCTTTCTTAAAAACTTTTATATTTCCTGAATTTACTCTCTATTTTCTACCCATGAATTTTAAAAGCTGATGCCCTGTATTTCTACTGCAAAACAAATGCATTGTGAATTTAAAATTTTTATGTCCTCAGTGTAGCCTTCTGATACATAATGAAATTTCCTTCACCTCGTAGCACTTTCCCTTGTTCACATTCCTGTTATTGCATATATAATATCTATTGAGTGTATAATGCAATGCCTCTCTCTTACCCTGCAACTTATTATTGTGGTCAGAGTTTTTTAATGTTGGTCCACCAAGTAACCAATCACATTCAAAGCAAATAGTATGTACTCATATATTTTTAGCATGAGCTAATAAATAAAATACAGATGAATCTGTTTTCAGAGAAAATGTTATGCAGTATAAAACAAAATAAGAAAACTAATCTGACTACTATACATGGTCAAAGCGAGTCCTCCAATATCTAGTTTTCATTAATTGCAATTACTTTAGGATGAACTAGAGTATGCCCTTACAGGGATCAGTGTCATTCAAGGATGTGACTGTGGACTTCACCCAGGAGGAGTGGGAGCAACTGGATACTGATCAGAAGGCCCTCTACAGGGATGTCATGTTGGAAAACTATTACCACCTTATCTCTGTGGGTAAGGAGAACTCCTTGAATCTTTCAGTGTCATGCATCTCCTTTCAAAAGTTTCTGAAACAATGGAACATTGAATTTCAGGGAACATAATTAGTGAATCCCTTTCTGTTAACAGAAAGTCTGATATGTTCTCACTTGCCTGGTGCAAGGTGTTATCTTTGGTAAGATGTTAATGTGTACCTTGTCTGCTACCTTGAAACTATATCTTTCTCTTCTTTTAATTATTTTGAAGCCCAAGGACATTAGGTTAAGTCTCATTTTTTTTTAAAGTTATTGAACTTATTGGAGTGACATTGGTTAATACAATTATATAGGTTTTAGGTATACAATTCTATAGTACATCATCTATATCTTAAATTTTTTGTTCACCATCCCAAGTAGTTTCCCTCCATCACCATTTAATCTCCTCTTTACCTTTTTCTGCCTCCTCCCATCCCACTTTCCCTCTTATAATCATCATACTGTTATTTGTGTTTTGAGTGTTTTTCTTTGCTTAATTTCTTCACTCTTTTCACTCAGTCCCAACCCCTTTTCCCTCTGACAGTTGTCAGTGTGTTCTCCATATCTGTGAGTGTTTCTATTTTATTAGTTTATTTTGTTTGTTAGAGTCCATATACACTAATGGACCAGATTATTATGATCACCTGATGATTGTAGGCAAATTAATTATAATTTTGCGCTGAAGTTGCTAGAGGGCCAGACCATTATAAATAGGGAAGCAGGTTGTTTACCACGACAGTAGAAGTGATTCTTCTCCCCCCCCCTCCCCCTGAAGATATAGGTAAACAACACGATTTAACAGCCTTTGAACTGTGGGATGATTGTTGACACATGGAGCCATGGAGCGAGTATCAGCAAAACAGCTGAATTCGTTAAATGTTCAAAAGCAGCTATTGTTAAAGTGTTTAAAGACAAGACTGTCAGCCGAAAATCTGAGTCTGAATGTGCGAATTGTGGCCATCAGCGATTAGTCAATGTTAGGGCAGATCAGAGAGTGGCAAGTCAGGTACAAGACAACAGAAGGGCAACAGTGCATCGGATTACTGCAGATCTTAATCAGGGACCATCTCAAATGATCTCTGAACACAATAATAATCTGGCCGCTCAGTGTGTGTGTGTGTGTAATAATAATCTACACACACACACACACACACACACACACACACACACACACTGAGCGGCCAGATTAATCATATGGTTCTTGTCTTTTTCTGACTGGCTTATTTCACTTAGTATTACTCTTCAGGTCCATCCATGCTGTTGCAAAAAGGTAAGATTTTCTTCTTTTTTACAGCTGAGTAGTAGTCCATTGTGTAGATGTACCACAGCTTTTTTATCCACTCATCTACTGATGAGCACTTGGGCTGCTTTCACATCTTGACTATCCTATATATCCAAATGGTGGAATGACCTGTCATTTTGACATGCACTGACCACCAGGGGACAGACGCTCAATGCAGGAGCTGCCCCCTTGTGGTCAGTGCGCTCCTACAGGGGGAGCTCCACTCAGCCAAAACCTGGGCTCATGGCTAACAAATGCAGCAGAGGTGGTAGGAACCTTTCCCACCTCTGCAGCAGCACTAAGGATGTCCAACTGAAGACATCCCGAGGGCTCCCGAACTGCAAGAGGGTGCAGACCAGGCTAAGTGACCCTCCCCAAGTGCACAAATTTCATGCGCTTGGCCTCTGGTTATAAATAATGCTGCTAAGAGCAAAGGGGTGCATATATTCTTTTGAATTAGTGTTTCAGATTTCTTTGGATATATTCCCAGAAGTGGAATTGCTGGATCATAAGTCAGGAATCATGCTAACTGATATCAAACTATGCTACAAAGATATAGTAATCAAAACAACTTGGTACTGGCATAAAAACAGATATATAGATTAATGGAATAGAATAAAGAACCTAGAAATAAGTCTCATTTTTTTTTTTTTATTATCAGGGTTTCACATGACTAAACCTGATATGATCTGCAAGTTGGAAGAAGGAAAAGAACTGTGGACAACAGAGAGAATTATTTCAAGTCAGAGTTATTTAGGTGAGTCTGTACAGATAAAGAACAATGAACTAAGGTATTAACACCTTTGAATGTTTTTAGGGATATATATGTTTGTTAATTGTGGTAAAATATGTAAAATTTACCATCTTAACTATTTATAAGCATAGAGTTTAGTGGCATTAGTGCAATTATTACTACCATCTATCTCCAGAAATATTTTCATCTTGCAGAACGGAAACTTTGTATTCATTAAACAATAACTCCCATTTCTCCCTCTCCTTTGGCCCTGACAACCAGCATTTTGCTTTCTATCTCTGTGGATCTGACTACTTGTAGGTATTTCATGTAAGAGGAATTATATGATATTTGTCCTTTTTTGTTCAGTGCATGAAATTTGTGCACGGGGGTGCACAGGTGTCCCTCAGCCTGGCCTGCACCCTCTCGCAATCCAGGACCACTGGCTCCCAACCACTCACCTGCCTAACTGCCTAATGCCTCCAACTGCCCTACCCTGCCAGCCTGGTTACACCCAACGGTCCTCCCCTCCCAGTCTGGTTTCCCACAACTGACCTTCCCTGCTGGCCTGGTCATCCCTGATCCCCTGCCAACCAGATCTCACCCCTAACTGCTCTCCCTTGCCGGTCTCACCATGGCTTTGTCTAGAAGGAAGTCAGATGCCCAGAAGATGACTAGTCAACCTGGTCTAATTAGTATATTACCCTTTTTATTAGTATAGATAATTATTAGTATAGATAATGTCCTCAAGGTTCACCCATGTTGTAGTATGTATGTCCTTCCTTTTGAAGGCTGAATAATATTCCTTTGTATGTACATACCACAATTTGTTTATCCATTCATCTGTCAGTGCTCACTAGGATGGCTTCCACCTTTTGGGTTCTGTGAATAATACTGCTACACATATCTATTTGAGTCACTGTTTTCAGTCCTCTTGGATATATAACCAGAAGTAGAATTGCTGGATTATACAGTAATTCTGTTTAATTTTTTGAGGAACTGCTTTGATGTTTTCCATAGTGGCTAGACAACTAAACATTCCCACCAGCAATGTGTAAGGGTTCCAGTTTCTCCACATCTTTACCAACATCTGTTATTTTCTGGTGTTTTTGATAGTAGCTATCTTACTAAAGGCTTGAGATTTTTGAAAAGCCTATACATAATTGACTTCCATAGCTCTATAGTCTAAATTTAGTTTGAATATCATCCTCCATGTAAGTGTTTTCTTTGTTGCCTTAGTGTACAGAGATATTAGTTGCCATTACCTTACCAAGAATTCATGTTTTGTAGATATAAAGTACATAGAGATCTTAAGTGTAAAGCTCTTTGAATTCTGACAGAAATAAAAGCTATGTAGCCCTAACCATTTTGGCTCAGTGGATAGAGTGTCGGCCTTCAGATTCAAGGGTCCCAGGTTGAATTCCAGTCAAGAGTATGTACCTTGGTTGAGGACACATCCCCAGTGGGGAGTGTGCAGGATGCAGCTGATCGATGTTTCCCTCTCATCGATGTTTCTAACTCTCTGTCCCTCTCCCTTCCTCTCTGTAAAAAGTCAATATATATATATATATATATATATATATATATATATATATATTTTTTTTTTTTTTTTTTTTTTTAAAGAAATAAAAGCTATGTATCTCACAACCCAGTCAAAATAAAGGACACTTCCATTAACCTATTAAGTTCCATCAAGCCACTTCCAAGTTAGTTCCTCCCACTAGGACAATCACAGTTGTTATTTATACCAGCATAAGTTAGTTTTGTCTATTTTAGACCTTTCTCGTGTATACTTTCTTTTACTCTTCTTACTGTCTGAGAGATTTATACATGCTTTTGCATATATAAGTAGTTTATTTTAATAGTAAAATAGTATTCAATTATATAAATTCACCACTTTATTTATGCCTTTTCTTTCTTTTCTTTTTTTAAATATATTTTATTTATTTTTCTTACAAAGAGGAAGGGAGAGAGATAGAGAGCTAGAAACGTAGACCAGCTGCCTCTTACACACCCCCTACCGGGGATGTGCCCGCAACCACGGTACATGTCCTTGACCGGAATCGAACCTGGGACCTTTTCAGTCCACAGACCAACGCTCTACCACTGAGCCAAACCAGTTTCGGCTATTTATGCCTTTTCTAATAATAATAGACATTTGAAATGTTCCAGTTTGGGGCTATTATGAATAAACTACTATGAACATATTCTAATGCACTTTTATGGACATGTATGTGCTTCTCAGTAGAAACATCACAATTGATATTGTTCATTTAAAAGGCAGTATAAATTTCACTTTTTTTAAGAAACAGTCAGTTTTTAAAAGTTACTACACCATTTTAAACTTTTACCAGCAATATATGAGCTTTTTATTGTTATCAATATTTTCATTTTGGTTGTTCTGAAAGGTATGGAAGTATATTTTTGCAGTTTTAGTTTATATTGAAACCTTTTCAAGTACTTTTTACATTTTTTTCAGAGGTGCCTATTTAAATGTTTTACCCACTCTTATTGGTTAATATATTTTTCCCTTGAGTAAGAGGAATTTTTTATGTAGTCTAGATAGATGTCTTTTGTTTGTTATATGTGCTGCAAAAATTCCTCTAGTCTGAGGCTTGCCTATTCATTTTAATGTGGTCTTTCAATGAGCATAAGTTTTTAATTTTGAAGAAGTCCAGTTTATTATTTTTTTAAAATAAATATTTATTGTTCATATTATTACAAATGTTCCTCATTTTCCCCCCCTCCATTGCTCCCTCCACCCCATTCTCTGCCCTTTCCCCACCCCCCATTGTCCTCATCCATAGGTGCACCGTTTATGTTCAGTCTCTTCCTGCACCCCCCTACTCCCTTTTCCCCCGAGAATCGTCAGTTCACTCTCATTCTATTGGATATATTCCCAGAAGTGGAATTGCTGGTTCATAAGTCAGGAATCAATATATTCACCAGTTAATATTGTTCATCAGATTTTTTAATTCCCTTGATTTTTATTTTATTATTTTTTTAATAAATCTTTATTTTTCAGATTATTACAAATGTGTTCCTCTTCTCCCTTCCTCCCCCCCAATTACTCCCCTCCACCAGGTTCCCACCCCACCCTCTGTCCTTTCCACATCCCCCATTGTTCTCATCCATAGGTGCACAGTTTTTGCTCAGTCTCTTCCTGCACCCCCATTCCCCTTTTCCCCGAGAATCATCAGTCAACTCCGCTTCCATACCTCTGATTCTATTATATTCACCAGTTAATATTGTTCATCAGATATTTTAATTCCCTTGGTTTTTAATTTCACTTGTTGATAGTTATGTATTTGTTGTTCATAATTTTTATCTTTATCTTCTTCCTCTTCCTAAAGAAACTCCTTCAGCCATTCATATAATTCTGGTTTGTCAATGATGAACTCCTTTAGCTTTTTTTTTTATTTGTGAAGCTCTTTATCTGGCCTTCGATTCTGAGTGATAGCTTTGCTGGGTAGAGTATTTTTGGCTGTAGGTTCTTGCTGTTCATCACCTTGAATATTTCTCTCCATTCCAGTCTGTCCTGCATGGTTTCCGTTGAGAAATCACTGACAATTGTATGTGTGCTCCTATATAGGTAACTACCTGCTTTTCTCTTGCTGCTTTTAATATTCTCTCTTTGTCTTTTGCTCTTGGAATTTTAGTTATAATGTGTCTTGGTGTGGTCCTCTTTGGATTCCTTTTGTTTGGGATTCTTTGCGCTTCCTGGACTTGTAAGTCTAATTCTTTCACCAAGTGGGGGAAGTTTTCTGTCACTATTTCTTCCAGTATTCTTTCGGTACTTTGCTCTCTCTCTTCTGGGACCCCCATAATTCTGATGTTGGTTCACTTGAAGTTTCTTACATTATCAACTTTCTGGATTCTCTTGTCTTCTTGCTTCTGTGGAGGTGTGTCCTTTGGCTCTTTATGTTCCAAATCTTTGACTTGATTCTTGCGATCTTCCATTATGTTTTTAGGACTCTGTATAATATTTTTTAATTTCAGACAATGTATTCTTTATCTCTAGTTGAGTCCTTTTCATATCCTCTTAGGTCTCATTTATTTTATCGGTCTTTTCTAGGAAATTCTTGAAAAACCTTATAAGCGTGAACTCTATATCCAGTCCCTTTTTGTCCTCCATTTCTTTCGTTTGTGTCTGTTTTCTTGTCTCGGCATTTTCACTGCTTCCCTGAGTTGGTAGGGTGCCTTTGTGTGCTAAGGTGTCCTATGTGGTTCAGTGGATCAGTCTTCCAGTTACCTGAGGTGGACACTCTTGGTGCCTCCTTTTGTGGACTGTCTGTACAACCTTGTTGTAATTAAGTCTTGATTGTTATTGGTATAACTGGGAGGAACTGACCTCTAGGCCAATTGGCTGTGAGGATCAGCTGTGTCTATACCAGGAAACAGCTTTATTTGACTAGACTTGGAAAATTGCAAAAGCCTCTGTGCTCAGTTTTGATGGGGCAGAGTTTCAGGGTGGAGCATACAGCCTTGGCTTACCATCAGCCCCGCCCTATGAGGTCACTGAGTCTCAGTGTTCCTCAGTGTCCTTCAGTACTCACTGCAAGCACCTCTGAGAGAAAGGTGCCCTCGAGTCTCACCCGCTACCAAACAGTCTAGGCTCTCCCCCAGTGAGCCTGGAACTGGGCTTCAGTGCAGTTGAAAGTGGGGTTCAGAGCAGTCTGGAGCTTTTGACTCCTTCCCTCTAAGGCAATCCAGCGGCACAGTTAACAGTCCGTTCTCTGCACGCAATGTGTGCACCTCTGGGATTGCCTTTTGCCGCTCCCCCGAGTTTCCGCCTTACAGCCCAGACTTCCTCCATATGAGCCTGGGTCCCCAGGGTCTGGCCTAGAACTGGGGTTCAGTGCAGTCGGAACTGGGGCTCAGCACAGTCTGGAGCTTTTGTCTCCTTCCCATTAGGGCAATCTAGCAGTAGAGTCAACAGTCCATCCTCCACGCGTAATATGCGCACCTCTGGGACTGCCTTTCGCTGCTCCCCTGGGTTTTCGCCTTACAGCCCAGACTCCCTC